AATTACTAATCTCAGGTGCAGCAGGGTAGCAAATGGAAATACCCAGGTGGAGTCTAGTGAAAATGGAATTTCAGGTTGTAAATTAATAGTCTGGGGCTTGACCCTAAAATATCATTTGGTCCATTTTTCTAGTGCTGGCAGTCTAGAAAACCATTTTTTCTGGGTTTTGATTACTGAGTCTTAGTTCTCTATGTTTTTACAGTGGTGAAGGGTTTTACACCAAAATTCAAGCCATATTTAGACTATCATATATCAGCTTAATAAACTGAGATAGTAACAAGCCTCTTGGCCAATTCTAGTGGAATCTATACACATATAAAAACCGTTCTGAAAATGTGTTTTAAAAAATATAGTGGTACCTCCGGTTAAGTACTTAATTCGTTGCAGAGGTCCGTTCTTAACCTGAAACTATACTTAACCTGAAGCACCACTTTAGCTAATGGGGCCTCCTGCTGCTGCCGCGCGATTTCTACTCTCATCCTGAAGCAAAGTTCTTAACCCGAGGTACTATTTCTGGGTTAAAGGAGTATGTAACCTGAAGCATATGTAACCCGAGGTACCACTGTACATTTTTTCCATAAGACTCACCATTGCCATCTAGTGTCACATTGTATATTGCACTTAAAATGTTTTATTTGCAGCTGAATAGCTGAGTCCTCTGTCTTTTGCACAAATGAGCAAGAAGTATTCCATTAACTATAGTTTCGTGTTTGTATTGGGATACTATGCTTAACAGCATCAGAACAAGCCAAGATGTTAAGTGATCTTTGATGTTGGCTAAATATCCATCCTGTCTTTTTCTGAAACTGTTAACTGTAGTTTCCAGATTTGAATGAAACAGGAAAATAAAGTTAAAGCAAAGAGATCACATGTGTAGCCAAGAGGCTTGTTCATATCTCTGTTTATTAAGCCAAGATATGATTGTTCAGACAGACCCAGTGTATGTTATGTCCAAGACAGTGTATGTGGGCTCCTTTGGAAGAGCGGAATATAAATCTAATAAAGTGAAAAAAGAAAGATAACTAGCCTCCAACTTTGTGGGCTAGAAGACATTTTCCTGAAAAAACCAAGTAATACTGTTGCACTATTACAAGGTGTATCCACAGTAGTAGGTATTCCACTGATAAAAGGCACTTTTATTGCCATTTTACCTGTTTACCTAGGCATTTGATGGCTGAAATATATTGTTCCTAGAAACCTTGACATTATTTAGTTGTGCACAGTTGTCTGTTCTTTAATTTTTTTAAAAAAATATTGTTTTTGTTGTTTTGATGTTTGCTTCCCTGAGTGAAATTTATGATTTAATAAATACATAAAATAAGGACAGGCACAGAAAGTGCATTATATGTGTGTGCCTTGCAACAGCACCCACAAAGTGAAGCCTATGGGACTGGTTTGTGTAACAGGCATGATTCTAAATCAGGGTACTGGCCTCAGATGCTTCAACACTTTCCGTATCCATTGTGATGTCAATAAAGGCGATATTATTGATTTAAAGGGAAGCAAGGCAGGACTGAATTCCAAAGAGCTCTAATAAGATTTTAGCTCATGATGGATACAAATACTCAGTCAAAATGTTATACAAACTCTGAAGGAATGGAGCTCCAGGAAAAACTCTAGCTAAGAAGCCACAGAACTAGTTCCATGATTGGTATAACTCACCTGACCATTAAAAACAGACCAGAGAATGTAGATCTGGAGCCAAAGGATGTCTCAAGGAAGAACTAGGAGAACTGTTAAGTTATTAATCCACCTAAGTATGTTCTTGGTTCAAAACCACCCGATGACCATGTTAGTCATGTGATATCCATGCTACCATTAGCATAAAACAACTAGTATGCAAGTTAATACCAGAAAGAAGCCAAAAACTATTTACTGTTACTATTTACATTGCTTCATAGCAGGATCTATTATCATGACACACATTAAGCACACTAAGTATGTTTTCTGTGCTCCATTGCTGGGTAAGTGATTCTATGCAATCAGCAATCAGATTATACAAAAAGGCATTGCTCCATAAAAAGCAACGATTAAGCAAGGCAGAAGCAGAAGATAGCTAGAGGTCCTTAGAAAGAAATGCAGCCAAAACAACATTCCTGAAGGAAAGTGAACAACGATTAAATGCATCACAGCAATCATACAAGCAGTAGGCAGCCAAAGCCTCTGTCTTTCCTCATTCATCAGATACAATGGTGTAAGAGCAGCTGTGGGGAGTTTGCAAATAGGAATACAACCATAACATGTATGAACTATACTAAAAGCATATGTGCTACAATCAAAGACCAACCTTTCACTACCAGAATTATTTATTTTTCGATAACTTTTTGCTTTATTGGCCAATCAGATCCTCTGTGTTCATTTCTGAACAAGAAGATTAACTGGTTGGTTTCCACTAGGTGGCACTATGTGAAAACATTTTCCATAATAAGATCTGACAGTAGTAGTTCAAAGACTGAAATATTAAATTCAGTGATCAAACACTTTACAAGAGATAGAGCTTTAAAGGATTTGAATGCTAAGTTGTGGGTCTCTCATTATGGAGTTAAAGACCGGGTAGAGAATCAAAACAAAGAAAGGACACAAGCTGTAGCTTGGAAGAAATGGACGAGGTAAGTGAGTGCATCCAATCCTTGAAAAAAAGCTCTGACTAACTAGTTATGCTTATGTGCACAAATAATATTTCTGGCTGGCATAGCTGTCAACTTAGCAGCAACAAGGCCTCTGGTCTCTAGTCCATACATTATGGAAAAAGACAAAGAAGATGGCAAAGCAGTTTCATAGCTTAGAAGAGAACAGGTTTTGTAGCTGATCTGTTGCTGTTGCAGCTATCCTCTGACAGCTGTCACATTTCAGAGAAAGTTGAACACAGGCAGAGTGCTTCCAGAGTGACTGCTGTTTGTTCATTTGGGAACCTTGCTTCCATAATGGAATCCAAGGAAATGTATGTGTGGTTCCCAGTCACCAATTCAGACACTGACTAGACCTTCTTGGCTTCAGACCATACTCTAGTCAGCAGGCATGTCCAACAGGTAGATCATGATCTACTGGTAGATTGTGGGGTGTCCTGGTAGATCCTAGTTGACCTCTGGCCCCTCAGCAATCTCCTTACAAAAAAGCAAAAAAAAACCCCCAACTTTGGCTTACTAAAAAAAACCTCAAGCTCCACAACTCTGGCTTCCTAAAAAAAGCTCCACAACTTTGGGTAGATCACTGCCAGTCTTTTTACGACAATGGGTAGATCACTGCCAGTTTTTTTTTTATACTGTGAGTAGATCGCAGTCTATTGGGAGTTGGACTAGTGCAACCCAAATACTGCTCTTTTGTCATAGGCTACATGCAGAACTATAACTGACCAGAGGAGGATTTAGGGGAGCGCAACTAGTTCGCCCACCTGGGCCCCGAGCCAAGAGGGTGCTGCAGTGGATTCTGCAAAAATGGTGAATAACGGAAGGCGAGGTGGGGGTGAATTTTGGTGTCACACGGGATGCCGCTGAAATTCTAAAGCCCAAAGTTCACCACTGAATTGACTTTTCAGATTTCAAGAGGTACAGCACTGTGTGTGCACATTCCCACTATGTTCTGAGTACTGTCACCTAAATTGCCTTCCCATGATATATGTATGAAGGGGCAATGTATATTTGGCTCCACCCCCAACGTCACAATGCTCCTCTCAACCCTTCACATGTTGAGCATTTTCTCCCTACAGGTTAGAACCCTGAACTTCTGATCATACATTTTCAGTCTGCAAGCTATTATTGGGGGCGGCGGGGGGGGGGACTTGTTCATCACAGCACAGAAATAAAGAATGCAATTAATGCAGGGGCGGGGGGAAATGGAGTAAAGCCAAAGTGACTTGTCAAGTCACATGAATAAATAGTCTTAAATGAGGAGAGATTTTCTGTGTAAATATTTTTTATTCACACATAAAGCCTAACATCAGTTTGATATCATGTTTCATTATTGATTTTGCTTTGCAAATATTTACCAGGCTGCTTTTTAGGGAAATGCATAAGGAAAGTTGCCCTCTCCAAAGGTATTTACATAGACCTTTATTTTTTCCACTGCGCAGAAGCTATTGAGGATAATGTTTCTTAAGAACAGGACATGCAAGTTTTGCACTTCTGAACATTTTGGATCTAATTCTAATATATGGATGTTGCTGTGCACTTCTGAAGTCATTGTAGTTTCCATTTGGAAACACTATTCTCTCTCTCTCTCTCCTGTATCTCGCAAATTAGTGCTGATTTTGATTACTGTGTTTTTCTCCATTGAGGAAAAGTAGAGACAGTGGCCAGATACAGCAGAGACCAGATACAGCACAATCCTATGATTGTTAATCAGAGATAAGTCCCCTTGTGTTCAGTGGGTCTTACTCTTAGGCAGATGCATATGGGACTGCAGCCTTAGAGATTTTTTTGGAAGAGACAAATTTTAACCATGGCTTCCCGGTTCACAGCTCAGTTCATTAGCAAATAATAATAATAATTTATTATTTATACCCCGCCCATCTGGCTGTGCTTCCCCAGCCAATCTGGGCAGCACTTAACGCTATACAACTTTCTGAGTTCTTTCTTTTCACTGAAAAAACAAAATGCTTAAAAGAAACATGTGAATACAAGATGTAGATGAAGAAGTCACTTGCCAAAGGCTACCCAACTCTTTTCATGGTAGAACCGGGAAGAAAAAACCCGCTCTTAGTCAAGTACCTTCTCGATTGTATTATTCCACTTTCTAGTATTAGCATAAAACAGCCATGATGTTGTGTCTCCACTGCCAGAAGTGCTATGACTCTAAATACCAGTTGCTGGAATGCTGTTGTGCTCATGTCCTGCTTATGGCATCCCATAGGCAACTGAGATTACTGAGCTCTTTTTGACTTTGCCTAATCATGCAAATACTCTGTATTTAAAAAACAAAGGCAAAAATCTGGAATTGTACAACTGTAGAGTTGGAAGAGACCACAAGGGTCATCTAGTCTAACTGCCTGCAATGCAGGAATTTTTTGCCCATTGTGGGGCTTGAACCCATCACTCTGAAATGAAGAGTCTCATGGTAAACCAACTAAGCTATCCTGGAAGCTCAAACCTGAATGGGGTTACTAAATTAAATATACACCTTTGTTTCCAGGGCCAGTAGATCTGTGTGTTTTAGCATAGCTCATACTCTTTGGGTCTTGACTTATCCACTCCTGGAATACAACCCTTAAGTAAAAAAATGGGTGCCACTCCTACTGAATTAGTACCCCTTTGGTCTCACAAAAGCTCCTGAACTCCTGATGTACGCCTTCTGTTTCAAAATCACATGCTATTAGATAGAACCACTGTGCTTGCTTCATACATGCATTTGGTAACTGCCATGCTTCTACAAGGAAAAGGGGGCTGTAAACTAAATGTGGTCCTTGCAGCTAAAGACACTAATTAAAAAGGTAAGCAGCAAGGAGGAGCCATATGCTTTCTCATTGCAGAAGCCAATATGCTGCAAAACAAAGAATGCCATCATATTTTTTTAAGGCCAGAGAGATGTGGAATGTTTGCACAGATCAGCAAGAGGAGCATCAAGTTTATACATCAGGCAGAAGCTAAGCTGGCTTTTAAAAACAGTGCACATAAGAGAATAGGTGAACCCCAGTTCATTACCTCTCCAAGACTCTGCCTCTCCTGTCTCTCCTCGTAGGCGGAAGTGTAGAAGGGCTCATAAGTAATTAGGTCTGGACGCTCAATGTCATAAATGGCCTTGACTTTGGGAATGGCTGCTAAATCCTTATAATCAAGGATCTCATTGTCTACTTTTGCCTGAAGGTCAAAGACAGAAGATAAATTAAACACACAAACTTGTAGATTTTTTTAAAATATACAGTTCATTATTTAGGGACTTTGCTTATATAGTAGGCTTAAATAAAACCTCATAGCCGGTCCATTATTTTTCACAGAAGCTACTCTTTTTTCCTTTGGCCTTATGCATCTTTTTTAAAAGGGTGGAACATTTATTTATTTTTTTGTTTTAAAGCCTAGACTTGGCAAGACATCAGTCCCAGTCTGCTATGAAGTCTAAATTCAGCTCTGCCAGTAACTCAGTGGGTAGCCTTTGGGCAGCAACACCCTTATTTTGGATATAGCATTCCTATCAGCAAAACATGCCATACATAAACCAAGCCCTGCCAATATCTATGTCAAGGAGATGTTGAGAAGAGGAGGGGCAAAATCCTGTTAGAAAAGTTGTGGTTGATTTTTATTTGTTGCATTTAATCACATTTCTATCCCACTCATCCCCAAGAATTCAAAGAAACCTGCATTAAAAAAATTAAAATATATGAAATGATTTATTTGCAAAATATTGAAGTATAAAGCAGTCTAAAACAATCCCCCTTCCCCCAGAAGAAACCAGTACAAGTCAGTTTCTGAGTTTAACTAAAAATGACTCCACATTGGCTAATAAATGTTCTTCTTAATAAAAGTACAAATGAAAGAAAGAAAACAAATTAGATCTACAACAAACTATGAATTGGATTTTGCTGCATCTCCCTTGGCAGTAAGCTGTGTGTAACCATAGGATTTACTTTACGCCTGTCCTCATTTTGCCCAGCAAACATGGTTAAAATGATGACGTCTCACAAGTTGTCCATAAAAACCTCATGGAAATGGGCATCTCTTAAGCACACCAGGCCCATTTCAGGATTTACAGGTCCTTCTTCCCACATGGTGCATCTTGATAACTTCAGCACATTAAAATATCCATTTATATGTAAGCCAAATTTATATGTTCCATAAATAATTGTTAATAAACTCACTTAATCCATATTCTGTTTAAAAGACCTGTTTTTAGGAGGTAATTTAATTATTGTTTGATTTTACACTAATGTTATATATCTAATGTTAGCTGCCCTGAGCCCGACTTTGGCCAAGGAGGGCGGGATATAAATAAAAGTATTATTATTATTATGATTATGATTATTCCCGATTAAGAATATAGGAAATACTGTGACACATTAGGATGCATCCTGATTACAAGAGTACAACAACAAGCGGAGCCCTCCAAAGAAATGCTGTGTGGGTTGTTGGGTGAGTTTAGTCCCCCACACAACCCCCGCATTTCTTCCTCTCACTTCCCTTCCCCAGGAGTCATTCCACATCTCTTTTGTCCTGTGTCTCCCATTTCACACCTACCCTTTCACCCTCCAATCTCCTTTGTCAGTTGTCGTGCCATTTCTGTCTCCACCTCTCTTCCCTCCCTCCGTCTGCCTCTTTCCCCACCCAACTTCATCACCCCTCCTCCATCTTCTCCTATCTCCTTGCTTCCTACACCTAGCTGCATCTTCTCCTACCCCCTTGGTTTATTCAACCTCACACACACCCAGTTCCAGTTTCTGCTTTGCGTTATTGCTCAACACCTTCCATCCGAAGCTGTCTCAGATCCAGCCCCCTACATTCTCATGTCTTTTCATTAATCTCTTTCTTCCTCCTTCTCCTCCTCCTGCATTCGCCTTCAAGCAAACTTTGCCAGGAAGCCTGCTGTGCACTCACTGATTCCAACAGGTTTTTATGGCAGTAGACCGGGTGACTCAGGCACGCACTGTTTTAGCACTGGGGAAGGAAATGAAAGTTTGCCTCCTTTGTACACGGGTGGTGCAATTTGGCTGCATAAAGACCAACATTCATTCCATGAAGTTGGAATATAGAAGTAGTCAATGTATAGTAAGTATGTTTAGGATTGCAGCCTAATAGCACAGTTCTATGTCTGCTTCCTAGGAAGTACATCCCACTATGTTCAGTTGGGCTTATTCCCAGGTAAGGGCCCTTCCAGATGTCCTTTTTATTGTGCCTTCATGAATCAGCTTTCAATGATGTTTGTGCATACTTCACTTCTGATCAGCGCATGCCCTGTAACCTCCTTCTGGAAACCCTTAAGTTCTCATACCACAAATATTCCAGTTTATTTCTTGCTCTGTTTTTGTTGCACTATAGCTCACAAGTGCTGCTCCACACAGCAATAATTCAGTAACACTGGGGGAGCATTACAGAATAACTAATAAAGCAGAATGATACAGGGACAGTATAAATTCACGATTAATGCACTATTATTGCATCAATGACAGCTATTGAAAATGCACCAGCCTCAAAAGGTCCTAAGTGTGAATAAAACTACAGCTTTAGGCTGCAACACTCTACATTTTTTTTTCTGGGAATAAGCCCCAATGAACACAGTGGGCTTACTGCATACACAACATTCATATGGTTGTGAGGCTATTGTTACAACACCATAGAATGGAGAGAAGAGTGCCAAATTCTTAAGGTTAATTTGTCTGATTTTAAGTGGAAGAGGGGGAGAGATTAAATGGCTGGGATAATCCAAAACATATCTGGATAAATGGGAGTAGCTGCTGAATATTGCTATTCATGAAGCTATCAGTAAAAATAATGTTCATTCTTTTTGTCTGTATTACTTGACGTTTTTCTGTCATAGTACAGGCTTACGAAAGCTAGTGGTTAAAAGTATGTTACAAAGAGATGTACATGCTACTATGTCTTCCTCAAACTTGTTTTGGAATAATTTCTAGCCATAACTGAAATGAGTCTGTGCAACTACAACTTTTAAAAGCCACTTTTATTGAAGCCCAAGCATTCATGTCTGAACATTTTTAAGCTACTGCGTTTAAGACAAGACATTTTAATTATTCCCTTGTGCATCGGAATAATATATAAAGGTTCCCTAGAACTGCAGATTAGAGGCTATGCAATGTAATGAGGAGCTGACTTTTCCAAATTTGCTGAAGGCTCTGAATCCACCCATTTGAATAAGTTGGCTTCACGCCAAAGTGTGCTCTGTAGTTTGAAACTAGCAGTTCATAAAGAGTCCCGATTTAGGCATGTGCCCCAGTTGATATGAACAGGAAGTTCTCTGTCAACTTTACTATCTGCCATAGCATATGCCAGGCTGTTTCCAAAAATCACAGATCTATGGGTCAGTTGCTATCCATTCTGTATGTTTAAAGCACATCCAACACATATTTAAAATCTCCACAAAGAATTGTGGGGAGCATAGCTTGTTAGCTGCGCTGGGAATTGTTGCTCTATGAGGGGGAAACTACTCCTGCTATATATTTCAGCACACAAGCTTGGTGTGACATCCCATGCATGTAAAGAAAGTCTTCAAGCCTTGTTTCTTCTCAGCCACTCAATAAAGAATAGAATGGAATCTGTCAGTTTCAATTTTTACTCAAAGCATATTGTTGGCAATACCTACCACTGGATCAATAACCCAGAAAGCAACATTTCAAAGGCTTTGAAAAGCATGTATTTCTGGCTGAGGTTTCGAGCCTGCCCGGTGAAAACCCTGGAGTTCTCATCTCACAGGTGACAAATCCCAGCTGCTACTTCTCCATAAGGTATCATTAATAAATAAGAAGGTAAGACAAAATTATACTTACATAGATTGAGTGGCCTGGTGAGCCAGGTATACTGGATCCAGGCCTAGAATAAATACTTTCCAAGGATGTTCTTGTAGGCTGTAACAACAACAACAGCAACAAAAAAATAAGCTGCAAAGGCGTGGCTGCATTATATATCCTATTTGAAACACAGAAAAGGTAGTTTTTTCAAAAGACCATGTCAACGTTTTTTCAATGAAAACCGTCATGTTTTCATCTGGGTCTTGTGAAGCAGGCTGGGTTTCTTTTGTGAAGGGGGGGTCTGCATTTTGTTGACAGGCAAGAGCTTTCTAGGCATACACAACTAACTAGCAAGGGTAACAGCATAAAACACCAAACCACCAGAATACTATCCTTGTCTATAGTTGGGAATGTTCTTGTTTTGAAAGTGTTGGCAGTCAGCTAAAATTTGTGGTTAGGGTCCAGAACCTGCCTGCAATACCACACGTTCCACCTAACATCCCTGACATCAGGAACGGGGAACCTATGGCCCCTCAGATGTTGTTGGATTACAACTCCTACCATCCATAACCACCGGTAATACTGGCTAGGACTGATGGGAGTTAAGAATTCAGCAAATTCCGGAGAGCCACGGGTTCCCCATCTCAGTCTTAGATGAACACCACTATAGGGATATGATGGTTTCAAAGGT